GCCATTTTGTTCTTCTTTAATTGTTTCAGTAAGGCATTTTTCCACCATAGACATGATCGTTGTAAATTGAGTTTCCGCGGGTTTAGAGTGAATTTAAAAGTTTATTTAGGACAATTGATGATTCGCTTTGATGCCTTTCGAAATGGTACGTCAGCAAGTCCAACCATCTTGAAACATCCCGGAGATAAAATTCTTCGTAGTTTTGTCCATATTAGTCGACTCACAAAGAAAATAATTCGTCTGTATTGTAAAATTGTAGAATTGTTCGTATATTGAGCAATTCCGCAACACCTAGATTCGTTTTCCAAGGTAATCATTGCTCTAATCGGTATGGAATCTTTCTATATTCCTCAATCATAGGTTCTTCTAACAATGCGCTTCCATATCCATAAAATCGAATAGTGATATTGTCCGTTTTTATCTGCTTACAACCGCCGCGAGGGACAGACCATTTTCTTTTTACATGTAATACATTTTCGAAAAGCTGTTCGACAAGTCAATAGTGAGAAAAAAGATGCCAAAATAGTAAATCCGCTAGTAGCTGCAAATAGTGGGAAGTTCAAGTGGCAAAAAGATCCTGATCAGTGGCGTAGACAGCACCTCGGTGAAGGTCCTGGTCATCGAGCACCAAAGGTGCGAGCATCCTAGGGGGGTCTGGGGGCATGCTCCCCCAGAAAATTTTTGATATCTGGAAGCCTGGAAACAGCATTTGCGGCGTTCTGGGGGCAGTATCAACAAAAAATTTGCCCTAACCCTGCATTTCTGATAGACCATAAATGGCTCAGAGAATAAAGCTTTTGCACTGTAGAAGTCAAATAGACAACGCTCATCATAGCCAGAAAGTAAAAGAGTTGCATAATTGCATTTCTGTATTGCTGCAACTAAATATGCCATCTTACTCCTCTTTATTTTCAAATTTACACACACTTAGCGCAAATTGGCTCACGATTGACAAAGACGATGTCACCTTGTTTTTCATATCATTAACGAGAAGAAAAACAGAGAACAATGAAACGTACAATAGTGCACAATGCACTAGTGACTGCTCATAACATGATGAAAAGTAAGAATATAGATAATATCTAATACAGTATCAGTATGAACAGAATGGTAAACGCAAAAGAAGTAAGAAGTCACTAAGAACTATTAAACACATTACACATATGTATATTGCAGTGAAAAGGTGCAACTATGCAAGGGTGCACAAAAGACCACTCATACATGATGAATGAATATTTATTGGGGTCACCACACCTTAAGTGTGGGTATCTCCCCATTAAGAGAAAAAATATATAAGATTTTATATGTTTTTAATACTTTCTTAAACACATAGGTTACAATGAAAAGGTGCAAGAGTGCACAAAGGACTGCTCATACATGAATTTAAAGTAAATATTCAATTCAATATGAACAGGGATGGCCCATTATTTATATATTGGGGTCACCACACTTGTGGATATCTCCCCTAGAACCAATTTAGAGGACCTTCCTGAAAAGCACTATTGGTGATGGAAGCTTTCCTCTGTAAAGATTTTTTATTATTATTATAATTAGAAGAATATATTTTTATGATTTTAATATTTTCTTTAACCATATATTACATGAAGTGAAAAGGTGCAAGAGTGCACAAAAAACTGCTCATAACTCATAAGCAATTAATGAATGAATAGTAACTATTCAATACAGTGTGAACAGATGGCCCATGGGGTCACCACACCAGCAGTGAATATCTCCCCTTGGACCAATTAAATGTATATACAAATAATTTTTTTAAGTTTTAATATTTTATATAACAGGCTATTACAATAAGGTGCAAGAGTGCACAAAGGACTGCTCATGATGAATGAATTATAAAAATTGAACCCATTTAACAGGGATGAACTAGTAATGAAATAGTTATACTTACATTCAACAGCTAATGTCTCTTATACTTAACCTGTCTACTATTTGTAAAGAAAGGCAAGTCTCCTTGGCTTCTCCACAAACTTCTCCACAACTTCACTATGTAGCACATTGGCATCTTCTTTTTCTTTTAGAATGTCTCTATGGATTGAAATCCTACAAAGAGAACTAAGGCGCCCTTGACTCATTCTATTTCTCAAATAGGTCTTTACCCTTTTCAAGCAGGAAAATGACCTTTCAACAGAAGCACTAGTTACTGACAAGACAACATTCATTTTCATTAATTTGACAGCTTCAGGAATACTAGATTGGAGATTAAACTTAAAAATATAGGTTAGTAATTCATTACATGTGTCTTTATGAAAATCCTGATCCCTGTAAATAAAAGAAAGTTGGCTCTCAAGCATGGAGATATCATAAAGGGGCCCATACATCTCTTTTAGTAAATTAATTTTCTCAGGTGGTACCACCCCACCCCAAGATGCAAATTTTTTTGGATTGACAAGATCTAAAAATGCATATTGTTTCATATCCTGAAACCTCTCTCATCATACTAACAATGGAGTCGATAATCTCAAAATAAATTTGCTTATGGTTGTGTCTTTTCTCAAGTCTGCTTTCTGGTGGGCCCAATATATCTACTGCTTCTTGGTATAATTCAGAAAATTTATCATCACTACGAAGAGAAGAAACAAAGGTTACAAAACGCTGAATTCTTACCATACCATAGTTAAAGTCAGTTTGTTGGCCTTGCAGAATTTCATATAGGATTGATGATTGTTGGAAAATCTGTTGAAAAACACAGACCAAAAAGCAAAACAAAAAACTACTAATATTATGTAGCAAACCATGTATCTTTCCCAATGATTCTCCATCCCAGCTCCCAGGCTCATCCACTTCTCCAAGAAAAATGTCATGAAGTTTCTGGTAATTTCTATGCAAGACACTTATCACACGAGATCGATAGTACCACCTAGTATCACCAGGGCTGGGGAACTCTATTTGATGAGAATTAAGAAAGGCTTTTCTTTGAGGGGCATTACTAGTAAAAGTACAAAATGCTCTATATCAACAAAGAAAACTTTAACAGGGGCTATAGATGAGGCAGACTGACACAAAACTAGATTTAATCTGTGAGCTGCACAATGAACAAAGTATGCAAAAGGATATTCTTGACGCACTCGAACCTGGACACCACTAACATGACCAGACATAACAGCAGCACCATCATAGGTTTGCATCACTAATTTATCCTTGATGTTGGAATGGGGACTAAGCTTATCCTTCACAAACTGGGATATGGCAGCAGCATCTCTCTTTGTGCTGACATCTCCAAATCCCAATTGTCTTTCTACTATCTCACAACCTTTATCCATACGGACTATCATGCTTACCTGTTCCTTAGTTGAGACATCAGAAGTTTCATCAACCTGCACACTGATGAAGGTACACTCGTTAATCTCCTTAAAAATAGTATCTTCAATAATGGAATCAAGGCAACAGATTAAATCATTTTGTATTTCAGGAGAGACCCCAGTGAAACGTGAATCTCCACCCTGACCAGATTCAGCTAGTCTGCCATGCAATCGTCGTTCAAATACAGAATCTAACTTAGCATAGGACTCGAGTAACTCCCTGTAATTACCGCGGTTCAAGCTATCTTCAGATTCATCATGGCCTCTAAACGCCAACTCCTGTTTGGATAAATACAAAACAGCCTCGGTTATGGTTTTTAAAATTTCTCTGTTTTGCCTTACCTCCTCATTGTGGCGTTGTATCTCGTCTCTTCTTGCTTGGGAGATAAGAGAATCCACTCGAGCACCGGAACCGTACGTCTTCCAGGTCTTGAAAGCAGCCATGTGTGACTTCGCCTTTTCATGCTTTTTGCAATCAGAGAGGAAGCCATGCATGTCGCTATAACCATTCTTGCTCCAAGTCGGCGACTTTCCAGGGCAAAAAAAAGACACGGCCAGCAAAATAATCTCTTTAACTCTGTGCTGCCACAAAGCCAATCCTTCTTTTCATACCAAGCCATTTGAAAAGATCTCCCTCTCGCACTAATACTCAAATTCGGCATTGGCCTTTGCTTAACAATAACATTTTGTTCCGCGGTTGCTCGAACAGAAAATGATTTTTTTAACAAAGAATTTATGATATCAGCTTCAGTTGAAGCTAGATTCGTCACGCTTGCTGAAGCCATTACAAAAACACTCGCTCAAAGACAATAACTATGCAAACTACGCTCAAGTGTGTGTACTCACGCGGAAACCTCGCAAGAAAAGGCAATACAATATGCAGCTCCTGCCTTGTCGAGATAGCAGGAGTGCGGAGTTGTAACCAGCCAATTATGAGTGAGTAAGAGGCCATTTATCCAATCAGAATTGAGTATTTTCTTCTATAGAATATTATAGCAGCTCCTGCCTTGGCAAAATAGCAGGAGTGAGCCATTGATCTATATATATATATATATATATATATATATATATATATATATATATATATATATATATATATATATATATATATATATATACATATATATATATATATATATATATATATATATATATATATATATATATATATATATATATAATATATATGTCATATATTAGCCTCCTCCGCAGGCATCTCTTATGCATTTATATTAGGCATTTATATTTGGCCTGGGTTAGCTGTGTCGGGGAGTGAGAAAAAAAATTTGCGTGAGATGCCTGCCATAAATCGCACAAAATGGACGTGTCGCTGTACCTCGTGGACTTGTCGCTGTACCCCGGGTCCCCTAAGTAGGTTTTGCACTGTAATTATATATTCACGATTGTCCTTCAATGCGAAGGAGTGAAAGGAGTTCGAAAGGAGCGAAGCTTTGGAAATGTCTTTTAATCCAGTATACAACTTAACATTCTTTGTCGATCGGCAGCAAAGATTAATGCAGTGTTGTAATGGATGTGAAAAGGAGACTTGGCTGTAGGCTGAATAATGCGCATAATATAAACGTTCTTTGCCGCGGATATTGAATCAACTATTAAATATACAGGCTACAGCGTGTATTGATGTTTGTGTCATGCACTATTGTCTATTGAATATTTACATTCATTAAATCAAACTGACATCGTAACACGATTACCGTTTTACTGTTTCACCCTTCTGAATACTAATGTGCGTGGTATATGGCATTTACCCTCAGTGCTTGCCTTGTGTGATATTTTCTGTGTGGATTTAATACAGCACTTAAATGCTCATCTGAGCTGGTCCCATAAATTAATTTTTCTGTACATGAAGGGCCAACTTACTTAAATATTGTTGCTTTATAGTCAATGACAATCCTACTTCTACACATCATGCTTTCAAAACCAAAGTTAAAGAAATAATTAAAAAGGAAGTAGGCTTTGTCCAAGCAAAGCAACTTGCTAGTGATATCTTTATATCAGTCTTATAGAGAAGGGGTTACCAGTCAATACCAGAATGCAAGAGACTATCAAAAACAACTGTTTTAAAACTGAACCCTTCATTGTTAGGAATTGTCATATGTGGGAAAAGTTGACCAAATTCGATCTAACTTCTATGCTGTGCAATCTTTTAAATTTCTTATAAGTTACACATATTTATTTTTGGTTCCCTTCCATTAGATTCTACTGTTATGAGGGTGTTACTCTGACCGAGCTGAATTTGAATATGTTTATAGAATTGGATCTGGCCAGATATTACTCTGATTTGCTTTTTGTAATACATTTGTAGATATGCCAGTTCCTATAAATTATATATATACATAAGAAATTTTTATTTGCCATTTTATTAATGAACTAGCAGGAGTGTTTTATTAAGCATAAGGCCTGGTTTTCACTTCAATCATATCCTAGTTAACTTTAGTAATTAGTAGCATTTTTATATAGATAGTTATAATGTAGAAAGTGATAATAATAATATTCCACATCTTACAACATCCTCAATAATATGCTGCACAAAGCTATATCCAGGTTAAATTAATATAATCTTTGGTTTATGTAACTTTGTTTATGCACTATATAACGTACCTATAATCTTTCCCATTTGATTTCCATATTGAATGTATTGTTATAGATGATAGACCTAATGAAAGCATGTTGTCAATGTTTGACTAATTACAAATATCTAACCCTGAACCTGGTAGGACTTTATTATGCAAATATTTTTGACAGTATGTCTTTGTCATTAAATCAAGACATAGCACCTAAACTTTATCCCCATAATTTAGAGTATACACAAACAAGATTTGGGTGTTGCATGCAATGTATTGACACAGGAGAAGGAGGCATACATCTATGATCTAGCAATACATTCGAGTGATTCGACGAACATCAATCCCACATTTATTGCAGCTTCCCGAGAACTATTCGCTTGAATTAAAACTTATATTCCTTCGTCTTCACAGTGTGCGTTAAAACCGTGCGTGTTTAATGGGTCAAACACAGGCAAATTCGACATTTTCCCGATAACATTTGCTGGATTTCGCCTATTATGCACAGCCATGTTGTGATGTTGACAAAACTTGACATGCGAAATAATATTTTTATATGGATAAAATCGATATCAAAAGAATCAAATTGTATTCTACAGACTACATACTTCACGGATTATCATGTTACAATTACAGAACACTTTTATTCGTTCTTTAATAAACCACAAAATTTTACGCAAATTTGTTGCAATATGCTTTCACTCCTTTTCACTCCCGCCTATACACAGTATGATTTTGTCGTTTTTTTCTAAAATTAGCATGCGCGAGCTGGTATGCGCAGTGCAAATTCTTGTGTCGATTTATGGCAGGCATCTCTCCCACTTTTTTCTCCGCCTTCCCCGACACAGCCAACCCAGGCCAAATATAAATGCCTAATATAAATGCATAAGAGATGCCTGCGGAGGAGGCTAGTCATATATGTTATTAGGCCTGAAGCATCAATGCGTGGGATCGATTATATTTGCGGGCGCGAGCTTCCGAGTGGTAACTGTTGCTAGAAACGAATCGAAAAATATAATTGCGGAATTTATAAGGCTTAGGCTTCAAAAATATTTCATAAACTTTTTTGGAGTGGTTTTTTCAAAATTTTGGGGAAATTTTTAGTCCTGCTGGGCAGGACGAGCAGGACCGGTAGCTACGCCACTGATCCTGATTTATTTCAAATCAGGATCACCTTGCCGCTTAAACTTCCCACTATTTGCGGCGATTAGCGGATTTACTATCTTGGCAGTTATCACAAAATTGTATGCCATAGCTTGCAGGAATATGATTCTCAATTAGTTTGATTCGGAGCTCCAAAACACACGTCGATCTGTATGCGTGCTACGTTTTTCGAGGCACGGCCTATGGCAACTCCTCCACGAGGCACCAATAAACCGTTCTTTTGACGCTGTTCGATTAAGTTTAGGTGTAATTCTGGTTTAATTTTATTAATATCGCTGCTATTTCACCGTTTAACAAGATGTGGTTGTATATGGTCGTGTATGAGCGAATTCCAAAGTGTAAGACAAAGTGGAAGTCGTGCTCGTGTGTAACATAACAAGACACTCCGTGGAGCGTTTAGTCGCAGGGGTATTAATGATATAGGCTTTTCGTAACTGATAATATGGTGCAAAAATTTCTGGTTGCTGATCACAGGCGGCCCAATCACGGGTAGAGTGGTGTACTAATACTATATAGATGTAGTAATACTATATGTACAATATATTAAACATTATATAATTCTGTCTGTGATGTATATATTTCAAATAGAATTTATCTACATGTACCTACCACTACAGAGCGTGAGTTTCGACGGAACACAGCAGGAATAAAATGAGAAGACCCAAGGTACATGTAGATAAATTATATTTGAAATATATACATCACAGACAGAATTATATAATGTTTAATATATTGTACATATAGTATTACTATATCTATAGTTTTAGTAAACCACTCTACCCGCGATTGGGCCGCCTGTGTGCTGATTGGCTAAAAAGGAGTGCAATTACCTATACAAATTGCAACTGGGACTGGGAGCAGAACTAGAACAGTCAACAGAGCCTGGGAACGAATATCTGAATTTTTCACATTTTGTTTTGAAAGTTTTGGAGGAAATTAATAAGTTGAGAATGCAACGAGCATATCATAAAAAAGACAATGCTTAAGTAGCGAAGGTAAGAGTGCAAATTTTTTCATCTATATTTTTCAGTCCGGGAAGTAAACAAATGCTTTGTTTACATTTCGAACTGCTGTATTTGTAAAATATGATATACTAACTGCATATCTTACACTGTTCTGGTTTGCTATGCTTGTAAATGAATATAAACCAGAGTTTTAATTCTGAAGAAGTTCAAAAGATGCGAAATTTGGGCAATGTTTATATTACGAGTCTCGCTTTTATTATAAGCAGAACCGATGCGCAGACCAGACTGTAGATCATCTTTTGGTTTCTGATGCAAATATAGTTAAAGATGTACAGTGAGTATTTTAAAGACTAGAAATCAGTCTTTAAAAACTCACTTGTGCTTGTTTATCCGTAATTGCACTCGAAACCATGCTATTACCTATACTAACACATTTTGACAGTGGTAGAGGTGATTGGGCAAATATATTATTTTGAGTGTCATTGGAATTAGGGATGGGATGGATAGGTTTATTGGGAGATGTGCACCGCCCCGAAGCCGGAGAGGATACTAATTTTCATGATCAAGAACATGACAAAATGACTATGTACAGCAATTTGCAAAATAGCGTAAGGGAACCCGACAGATACAACTCAGCACCAGAGCTCAGGTTTTGAAGGTGAGCGTGGGGTGGGGGGGGGTGAACCAGTAGTTCCCAAGCTTGGGCAGAAATTAACAGTACGATGAACATTTGTATTTAAGTGTCAGCCGATTTCCCTGTTTCGTTTTTATGAAGAGTACCCTGTGCCCTGACTGTGATACAGTTGCCTTACATTCTAACATGAGCTTAACAGAAGTCACAAGCATGTAAATGCAGCCCTTGCACTATTGACAGTGAGTATTGTGTTTCATTTAATATGGTATCTTGACCTTGAAAAGTTGAAAGAGGTGTCAGACTTGTAAACCTGTATTATTCCAGTCATAGTGCAGCCACAGTAACAGACTCGACTTGTAAACCTGTAATATTCCAGTCATTGGAGCCACAGTAACAAAGTTTAAATTTCACACGTAGTGATTAATGATGATCACTGTGGTTGTATTTCGGTCTTACACTCTTGCCGTCTTGTTAGGCTACACCATGACAGTGACAGTATTATCAATATCCTTAACAGTATTATTTGCAAAAGTAATAGAGAAAAGCATCCAAATAAACGGCAGTTTGCGCAAGCCAAATGCTGCCGAGATGACAGTTTAATTAATGTTTAATATCAATACCCGTAACAGTATTATTTGCAGCAAGAGCCACAAAGAAAAGCAACCAAATAAACAGCAGTTTGTGCGAGCCAAGTGACAGTATTATCAATATCCTTAACAGTATTATTTGCAGCAAGAGTAATACAGAAAAGCATCCAAATAAACGGCAGTTTGCGCAAGCCAAATGCTGCCGAGATGACAGTATTATCAATGTTTAATATTAATATCAATACCCGTAACAGTATTTATATTTGCAGCAAGAGCCACAGAGAAAAGCATCCAAATAAACAGCAGTTTGCGCGAGCCAAATGTTGCCGTTCCAAAGTTCTTTGTAAAATTGAACTTTTTGTCCTTTATTTCAAGTTGAAATTGATGCTAATTTGTAATTGAAATTGATGCTAAACTCGCTCGTTGTAAGCGGCCATCTTGAATACAGCGCGAATACGAATGACGTAATTTGAAATTTTGTGGCTAAAGATCCGAGATCCGACAAAAATGCGAGGCGAAACCTTAAGTCGCTGCGGGCTACGCCCCAGCGACTAATTAAGCTGTTTATTTACATTTTTTAAAGTTTCTATATACACCTCAGAGAAATAACCTACTTAGATAGATTAGACGATTTTAAGAACATTTACAATATATTTGATAACACGAAAATTTGATCTTCATGTACTTCTCGGGCATCAAAGTTGGCTTTTTTCGTGTTTGACCGTTAGGTGCTGTGAGTGGGAACTAGTTGCCTTTTCACCGGAAGTGAGGTACATTGGAGAACACGCTAATTTTGTAAACAAGAAACACGCTTTAAAATATAGAAATATTGCCGTATTTTGTCATGTTTAAAGCAGTTTTAAATCGTAATTCGTTTAAAAGAAGTTATCAGGGATTAATTTACTGTACTTTTTTTTTTGGTTTCAGTCAATATGTAAGCTTCGTGACGTAAAAAATGAGCTACCTACCTTATGTAATTATTATATATTATTGCACCACTGGCGTTCAAATTATCACGCATATTTGGGCTGCCTATGTTTATACCTAAATGAGTTTTTACCATGTTTTATGCGCTGCCTTTCATGCGCTCCAGCTAGTCCTTTACCCACAAGTAAGCATTGCATACCTATTTTTATAATAGCGGTTGAGTAGATTGAGATGCAAATCCTGACGGGGTATTTAAAGTGCCTATATCAACCTCAGGGAAATAACCTGTTTATATAGATCAGACGGTTTTAAGAACATTTGCAATATATTTGATAAGACGAAAAATTTGATCTTTATGTACTTTTCGGGCTTCAAAGTTGGCTTTTTTCGTGTTTGACCGTGAGGTGCTGTGAGTGGGAACTAGTTGCCCTTTTTCACCTGAAGTGACGTACATTGGAGAACACGCTAATTTTGTAAACAAGAAACACGCTGTAAAATATAGAAATATTGCGGTAATAAAGTGCAAAATCTTGTAGTATATAAACTTTTTGGTTCGTTTTTTGCTAAAACGACGTCGTCAAGTTTTTCCGACAACTTAGACAGCCAACTTGATTCGGATATTAATTTCATCACAGATTATGTATTGCCAATATTGGAAGTTGAAGACGATGCGATACTGTTGCTTCAAGAGACAGTACGCCTACCGATGACAGTTTATATCAACTTCTTTTTCCGGTGAAAAAAGGGCAACTAGTTCCCACTCACAGCACCTCACGGTCAAACACGAAAAAAGCCAACTTTGAGGCCCGAAAATTACATGAAGATCAAATTTTCGTCTTTTCAAGTATATCGCAAATGTTCTTAAAATCGTCTAATCTATCTAAGTAGGTTATTTCCTTAAGGTTGATATAGGCACTTTAACCGTAAAAGTCTGTGCTTTTAAAGCACAGCGTGCTGTTTAAATATCGAACAACACTGTGGTTCTCAAGGCTTCTAAATGAGTATGAACTTGTAGTTTATGTTTAGAAGCTTTGTATTGAAAAAAGTGGCACGTGCGCGGGACGCCGGACTAACGCCAGAACAGGAGTCTTATTTTGATAATAATCCTATCCGCCAAATTACCTGTTGACTTGCATGATTTTTGTGGAACAATTCATTAAAAAAATAACCCAATAATTTATTGAATCTCTAATCACCTATTCATATTCGTTGTGTTAATCGAACATTGCATATTGGGCGAACCTGGAAACTTGTATACACTTTTTAAAGTACCGTATTCTCATTAGTATTCTATTGATACTAATTCAAAACATCTATTTTGTTCTCCTTTGTATGGGGTTAAATGCATTTTAGTTACGCGGGAGATAAGGAAACTGTAGTCAACTGCGGTTGACTGTCAACTGTCCGACACCCGTCAACTGGACACAATTGTCAATTATTGTCTAATTAGTTCAGTTATATAAAAACGTTCATATGACTGTTCATATGACTTTATGCACACACCTGTATAATCAATGGCAACACTATTATTGTAATAAAAGTGTTTTACAATCGAAGTAGCTATTAGCTGCGTCAATAATTGTCGTAATATTCTTACATTTATGCCACTTCAACAAAATTCTATTAATAAACCTGGGTAAATTGTTATTAATTCACGAAATATAAATAGATCTGTTATTAATTTCCCTTTAAAAGCAATATATAGTTTGATTGTGTTTATTTCCAAATTAAAATAGTTAATTGTGATAGTTTGAATTAAGTTTTGACAATAGCTAAACGTTAATTATGAGCATTATTGCACAGCTAGAGTTATTGCACAGCTAGCTGCTAGCGTTATTGCACAACTAGCATTATTGCACAGGAGACCTTTATTTACCTATCACCCCTGCCTTATCGCGGACAAGAAATCACTGTGTCAGTGAAAGGGCAATTTCAATGATGATCAAGCCTAGGCCTTTTACCACCACTTTTATCTTACTTTTGCTTAAAACTGCAAATATTAACGCTAACAGTTGCTCCCCGAAGAATTACGATGTCGTTAGAGAAGGTGAGTTATTGCTGGTGATGTGTTGCTACTTCAAAATGGAAGAGATTCTTGGGGAAATTTTTTTAAAGCTGTTTTATTATTGTCAATAATTGTGTATTTCTTATCGCACGACCATAGAGCTAAATACAGTACTAAAGATTTTATATATAATAAATTCTAGGGGGTTCATCGTTACCCAGTGGTGAAATAATATCGAGACACAACGTAACATCTTCGGTGGTCATGTTGGAATGTCACACTCACTGCAAAGACGATGAAAAATGTGTTGGTTTCAACTACAGAACAACAAAAAATGTTGAGAATTGTCAACTGACCAACGTCACCAACAACAGAGGCGACTCAAACAAACGAGATTGGATATTGCCGTGGGATGCTGAAGAGGTAAGGTAAAATTTAAAATGCGTGCATAATAGAATTTCAGCTCTAAAATAACCAAGGAGCTGTGTAGTGATGCCTTTGTAAAGCTTTAAAGTAATGCGGTTAAAGAACTGCTTAAAATATGCATAAAACTTATGCGTAAATATTTAAGCGTTTCATAAAAATTGGCGTCATTTGCTCGAGGGTTACCGGTAACGTTTGATTGGCAAAAGCAAGATTGAATAAGAGGGCGGGGGGTTAAAGAACTAGCCAACGTTTGTAATTGCCATGATTATCGCCAAAATTGTACTGTAAAGAACTGGATTCACCCAAAATGACTATACGCAGTGGTCATAAATACGAATGAGTTCTCAAGAGTGAAAAAAATCGCTTCCCCATTAGTGAAAACCTTGAACAGAATCACTCACATGCGCAGTTACCGCGTGCACAATAACTTTTGCGATTCGTGGCCTTCCAGAACATTAGCACACATAATCAGCATAAGAAAATTGCCCGATGAGCGTTCTCTTTTAATCAGAAACTAAAAAATCTTAAAATGTATAAAATTTGAATATTTAAAGCATTCAAAGGTTGGTGGATACAACAATCCTGGAAAATCATGTTTGGACATTCTTCAGCGGATAAAATTGTCATATTTGGAGAGTGGAGAATACTGGATTAGATTGAATCAGTAAAATTATTCTGTGACATGAAAGCTGATGGAGGTATAATCATAGTATCATACATATTATAATAAACCCAGATATGGTAGCGAGGGTAAATTTAGGTTCCGGGTGTAACATCTCCATTCATAGCATATCGAAAAAAAAATTAAGGAACTTTCAGTTTTTGCATTGCCAAAATTCTCGGTTGCAAATCATGAATATGAAATCCAGGGCATCAGGGCTTTTATCTCTTTGTTGCCGTCGAAAATTTGTATGATTAGTAGATGAATATGCTATCCATTAGCACCTTCCGTTTTTGCCAAACTCATGTTTTTGACTAAATAATGATGTTTTCAACTCTCGCGATCGTGTTTTTTTACAAATTCTATAATAAATGCTAAAATAACTTTAGATGAGACATTTCCATATCTTGTCGCGACAAAATGTCTTCTTTCTAGAGACTTGCAGCGCTTTTGATTTGTGCACGTAACGTAACATGGAGCCATTTTTTCTCTTTATTGTAAACAATGATATAAGGGGAAAAATTCAGGGCCTTTTTTAAGGAGTGGTTTTGAGAGAAAGGGCCCCTCTGCATAAAATATAAGCAATGTTATATAAAACATATGAGCATGTATATCCATGCTACCAACATTGTTTTATGATATTCCCAAAATGCTAATAGGGGGGGGGGGTTAATTGCCCCGCAGTAGTACCACTTGTTTCTCTCTTTGTACGCAAAAACAATATTGGGTGGACACATGCTTCTATGTTTTATCACAGTTAATTGAATATACACGGATTAAAGACTAAATAAAAGTACAATAGAGCTCATTAACTATGTCGGGGAACATTTATGCAAAAAATTGTTTGTTCTTTGTCACGTGCCCATTGTACTTTGAACAAATAAACCAATAGTAATGTCTGAATTAACATGTTATTCAAGTAACGGTTGAGGAGCTAAGCCAAGCCATTGCTTTGGGCAAAAATACAATAGACATGCGACGGATAAGGAACCATTTTTTGCATAAACCTGGACAATAACATCAATAATGAGTATTGTACTTCCATCCATCCATGGTCTCCAAACCATGTGTATTCTAATAACTGCGGTTTTTTATAACATTGCTTGTATTTTAAATACGGGGTTGAAAAGATTTCCTTAAAAAAGGGTTTGAAAAAATTGACCAATATATCTTCAATTTTGTAGGTGGCTGGACTCTGGTTAGCAACCTTGTTCTGAATCAGCCTAGAGGAATGGATTGGTCCCTGGGAAATGATTATCAACAAATTAGTGAATACGAAACCCGAAAGCTTGCTCTTTCAACGTATGTTCTTCATGTCTTGAGATCGAAAATGTCGTTCAATCAACTCAGATTTTTTTGTCACAAAAAGAATCCGGGACGAGTCTTTGATATCGCTACGAATAAAACCAACAATCTTGGCCAAGAAGTTATTAAGTATTTTACTGCTCAGACAAACACCCTCCCCAAGAGCTATGGATCTTATTATCGTTTACCCGATGACAATTCAATGCTGGCCAGTCAGTGTTCTCAGTGGGGTCGTGAATGGGGAAAATTCAAAGTTAATAAATGGCATCATAGTGGATATCATGTCCAAGATCGTTTATTCGATCATACAGCGTTTGTTCCTGCCAAATTTTACTGGTTAATTGAGAAATCAGGTGGTCGCTGGGAATGCGATGATTTCAAATACCCAGCATCGAAAAATGACTTTTGGAAAATTTTTGTTCGCTGAAATGCTTCAATGTCGAATTAAGATATAACTATGGAGCTGTTTATATGGAGCGAGCTATCCCGGCTAGACGAGGTCATTATAATTATGCAGTTTTCACCTTACGTAGCCGGGATAACTCGCTTCATGTAAACAGGCCCTAACAGGATTCATAACGTTGCATTTTGTTGACGTTACCCAAGTACGAAAATGACTAAAAATTATTAAAATAATTATTAGCAAACGGTCTTCCGGGGTTTTGGCGTCTTTTTTGGGGACGCCATGGAGAAAGAATTGACGTTTTGTTTGGGCGCTTTGTTGTGTTAGATAGTTGTAACGTTTCTCATCTGATAGCAGTGTCCTGTCATATAATTATTAACTAACCAATAATAAGTATTTAATGTTTAACTGTGTAATTCTCGTGTAATTGTATTTAGCACCGTTAACCTTTAATAAACCATAAAACTTTATATTATCTGGAATGACCATGGAATCTAACGCCTGCTAAGTAAGGGTTATTATAGTCTATTATAGTCTAATAAATTGAAATATTAATTAGGCTTAGCCTTAAAGTTTACTATAAATGGTCCGGGACGGCGGGACCAACTTTTCTAGTTTTGTTATTTGATTGAAAGAACGCATTCCTCCTGTATTTACTGGCATAATAAGCGTTAAGGCGAAAGTATTTTGGGAGAATGTTTAAAGAGAATTTTTGAAATTTACTCCCACTCTTATGTGCACGCTTGTCAAGATTAGGTGACTTATTTGCCGCTTAAGTCACTATACTCTCACACACCATAATCAGTGCTCTTCTGTTAACGCGACGAGTTAATTCGCTTCCTTCCAAGCCAGTTTCGTGCCTACTATTTAGGTGTATCAAGTTTCATTGGCAATACTAGAAATACATGCATGCAGCAACCCCTCGCCACGGTTAAAGGAAATGAGTTAATGATTGTTAGAAATTTTATGTGGTTTATGGGTTTTGGAGGGCACGTGGTATGTGAGAAATAGAAATTGAGAAAAGTATGGAAATATTTTTCTGCACGTGGAAACACTGTAGTCATAGCAACACGCAACGGCCGTATATTTTTAAAGATCAAAGTTTACCCTCATATTTTTGTGAAAAAATGGCAAAAATACGACAAGATTCTTACCTTTTTCTGGAAGTTAAGTTACTCATCTATAGTCAGTGTTATGGTAAATTATTTTAATTATTAAATACCATGAAATATAACATCAGACGTCTCATACAACGCTTCGACTGGTTTATACGGGAATGTTTTGATTTTGTTTTCTTTTTGTCATTATGAAAACGGAGTTTACAAATAAAATTATAATGTCGTTTATCACATAACACATTCAGATTTATAGTGAAATACATTTGAGAATATTAAAGTTGTGTTTGCCACAAATTAATTACTTTTTAAAGCTGTGCCGGATGAAATATTATCAAGTGTAAAATCTTCCGACTTCCTTATACACGGTGAATTCGGTCGAAAATTTGGTCTTGTTATTTGTTAAACCGTGAAAAGTCCTGACCTCATTCGAGTTTCCCTCTAATTTAGTAAAAATACATATATTCCATATTTATAAAAATATAAATTTGTAAATTTCATCAAAATTTTGCTAAATGACAGTTACTCATTGACGTTTGAAAATACAAATTTTTGTCTCGACCAATCAAGAGCTTAGTAGTTCACATTGGCGCATGCCCATAACGTAGAAGACCGTCCATGGCGTGAGGTCCATTGCATAATGTAGTGATGGGCGATACTTCGATACCAAGTATCGATACTCACCGATATTTATGATTTGCACTAAATATCGATACTTGACCAAGTGGTCGCAAAATTTCGATACTGAGCCTACAGTATTTTAGGTCAGCGTTTTCTACCAAAAAGTATAAAATTTTTTATTTATTTTTCTTTTGTTCGTCACTTTTTTGTTCTTTAGTTCTTTAATTATATGCTACCAATCAAAATAATTTCTGCCCATTTTTCATTTGCGAAAAACAAAGGGAAAAACCAAAAATGTGAGTGAATAAATGCACATTATGGTATGGTATATGAAATTACAAACGGTAAAAAACGGCTCAAATTTCTGGTATCGGTATCGAAATTTGGTATCGATACCACTACAAATTGTCTGGTATCGAAGCGGTATCGTATCGATTTGAAAAAGCTGGTATCGCCCATCACTAGCATAATGGCGGACGACTTTGATTTCGCATTTGCATATCGTGGGTGTAAATATCCGAGGGGAATTAGTACCCTCGCACGGTGCTCCGCACCGGCTCGGGGATAATTCTCAAGCTTTAAAGACGTGCGGCTAGTGCAAAGTTTTTAGACGCGTGCTACGCGTCTCTACGATAACCTTTGTAGGTCCGTTGGTCGGTCGGTAGGTCGGTCGGTCGGTCGGTCCGCATATTACTCTAATATATGCATGGTGTCATGAAACAACGCTTGTGGGACGTATTCGCCCTGAGCGCATGCCCAGTTCTTCTTCAACGTTCAACTTATTGACATTGTTGACATATTGTGTAATTATTTTTTATCGGACTTAATGCCGGACTTAATACAGTATAATACGTGGAAACATGTGGAGATTTTTTATTCAGTCATCGATAACAGGGCATTGAAATCACAGTAATGGACCTAACAAATTTTGCAATTCTAATAAGAGTTTGTTTAGTTCGCGTGGGCAGTGATATAGAATGCGTAATTGTCCTGTCTAATTAGAGAGTACAATTGATAATTGGTAGGTTCAGTAAACAAAAAAACCAACACGAATCGAACATGCATATTATAATGTCCATTCTACACACATTCAACAGGAATGAATAGCCTTAATTGAGCTGGCCAAATAAAACAGTGCTGTTATCATTATATCATATACCTGTTCATGACTGTCAGCAGCGCTGTTTTGTTCAACAGGCCCTAAACAGTGCTGCTATCATTCATAAACAGGACTGTAGTGTTGAACAAACAGGCTTAAACAGTGCTGTTGTACTTGTAACAGCGCTGTCGAACGCTGTTCAAGCCTGTTGATTCAACCGAGACCTGAAGAGCACGGTTACAACAGCACTGTTTAAGCATGTTCGTTCAATAGGCCTGTTCACTGCTGGAATATTGCGCGTGTAGTCATTAGACGATATCAAAAATAATTCGATTTAAGGAAATGTTGGCATATAATATTAATAAGTCACTATATAGCTCATTTTTATTTTATTACCGCCGTTTTCATTACACTGCCACCCCTGCGCTCAAAAGTCTCAGATCAAAGCTCGTTCTCGTGGGCAGTTTTTAAATAAAACAACTCGTCAGTGAAATTCTAAATTATGAGCTTTTGGCATTTTCTGTATATCAATTGGCAAATTTTACGTTTAACTGACAAAAAATCTGCTATTCTCGGCCTGTATGGCTAAATTGTTGATTGACGTCCACGCGAACAAGAAAAAAGCGTGATATTTTTAGGCTCTGGGGTCGCAGTGTAATGAAAACGGCTGTAACACAATCTGCCAGAAAGGCTCTAGACAAGAAAGCATCTATGAAAAATACATTCCAAAACACGAACATATTGCAATTAGTAACGCGTGCGTGTTACGCTGAATCGTTCCATTTCCGTCACAGTGAGTTCCATCCATTTTAAAATTGTTCTAGGCAAATGGCAGCATGGTCAGAATAGTAAGGGTAATATAGATGAGCTTCAGCTACTTGTGTCATGCCTGGACATTTCAGGACATAAACATGATCTAAGAGTCCGCCTTCGACGTGTGTCGGAGATTTGACGAGTTGTTGGAAACCATTACAGCATATCCATGTGGTAATGGGATGCCTTGCACTCAAATAATCAATGTTGAAATCTCCAACAATACAACAGGGCCTTTCATCATCGATAAGACTCCTTAAATTGTCTATGAAGGAAGACGTGTTTGCACCTTGCGACCGGTAGATATTAATGATATTTAATCCATTGCTAGATAATTTAGCCATTTGAAACGTTTCTTCATTGACTTCTCCAGTTAATATAAATTCCTTTCGGTAGTAAAAGGCAACACCCTTACCATTTCCTTGGTTAACTAAGTGAAGTCTATAACCGTTTAACTCGAACTTGCTATTATCAAATCTGTTAGAACACCATGTCTCCTGTAATGCAATTACTTTGCTACATGTAATTTTGAAATCGTTTGACAATTCGTTGTAGTGTTTAGAAAGGGAACGTATATTAAGACTTACTACCACAGTATTCTTTGCTATAGCCTCTTCTCTTCCGTTTATTGAGGTAATTTCCATTCTTTTCAACTCTTTAACTGCTTTTTCTGAAGGGTAAATCTTACGTTTGGGTAATTGTTCAACGATAAAAAGTTGACTAGCAGATTGCACACGGCTGAGCATAACATATGCCTGAGCGGGTTCCCGTATTGACCGTAAATCTAGCACCAAAGAATTTGGTTTTACCACCGTAGATCCCTGCATTTTATGAGCTGTACAAGCAAAAGACAATTTTAAAGGAAATTGTGTTGCCGTCATCATGTCATTATGAGATGTCGGATTCTTGGACATTCCAAATCGAAATTCTATCTTTTCTATGGGGGTGACTGGAATACCTGGAAATCTTTGTTGAAGTGTACTATAGTTCTTACGTTTATTATAACCAACCTTGCTATTAATGAAGTGTACCAGGACAGCCTTAATTTCACCCGAACACGTGTAATTGAATCCAACTACAGTTCCTATTGCACCATTGGTGAGTGAGTCGATCACATCCACATTATATGTAAGCATCACTTTTGCAGAAACTTTTAATTTTAAAACATTTTGAAGTGGTGTGTTCCATATAGAACCGTCGTTTTGTAATTTGGGCTGTATGTGTTTTTCGGCTCCACGTGTTACATTTGCTTCAATTACATACTCATCTCCATCCAAGTTTTTAAGTTTTTCCTCGTTGAATTTGTTAACCTCAATATTCTTGCAGGTAATGTATAACGCATTGCGTGGTATTTCATGATGATCTTTCGCCCTAAC